TATTAAGATCTTTTGTAATGAAATATAAATTCATATTATAGCAGGTGCTTTAAAAGTTATGGAAGACCCATCAACTTCATGTACAAGTGATATCAACAGTATGTTTATACATAGATATATGTGTACATTATATATATAACTTATGATTTCTCAGAACTTAACATTAACTATTCCAAAGAAAAATACCCAAACTCAGATATGTAAAAGATATTTAAAAGATAAAGTCATACGTACATGTGATACATTGTTTTACTAATTATAATTTAAAAACAAATTACTATAGTATTACAAATTATTATATTATATCTATTCATATTTCATCTTGTAGATGAAACACAAGAAAGTACTGGAAACAATTCTTCACAATCTACAAATAAAAAAATGAAAGAAAAAATGTTAAAAATGCCAAATGAAGAGAGTAAGTATTGTTATAAATATATGATACAACTCTGTAACTTACTATTTTTCAAAGATTTAGTATAAATATGTCTAACTATTAAATATTTTAATATTTACAGAATTTACTCATGAAATGACAATAAAATTACTGGAAATTGTGCAAACTAAATTTCATCTTCTTAATCACAAAATGCACGCCAAAAAAAAGATATGGATTGATGTTGCAACGGAAATGCAAAATAATAGTTATTTGACTAATTATAATGGAATAAAGTGTGCAGATAAGTGTCATCAGCGTTGGCGAAATTTAGAGAAAATGTATCATGGACATTGCCGTTACATGAAATCTACTAGCACAGGAAAGAAAAAACCTCCTAAATATTTTGACGAAATGCATGATCTTATTGGGGAGAAACATAGTAGTAAATCAGTCAATTTTTTTACTGGTTTCTGGCTACTGGGGAAAGGATTCATTGGATCAATGTAATTCAACTGTAGTTTCTAGTGATTGTAACAATGAGAAAGAAAATAATGTTGATGATAGTCAGGAATCTAATAAAAAAGACAGTACGTTAGAGAATATTAAAGAAAAGAATGATTTAAAAACTATAAATATTTTTGAGAACGTTAACAAGTCAGTAAGACCAAAGAAAGATAATGTAACTGCAGTTTTAAAAGAGCTACATGAACAAGGTATACATATCGAAAACGAACGTTTTGAAAAATTTGAAGCTTTACTGATAGAACAAAATGAATTAAAAAAGAGAACATTAAAACAGCGCGATGAATTTTTAAATGTTATGAAGAATTTTATTTCTTTAGAAGCAAATAGAAATAAGAAATCTTATAAAAGGAGGAAATATTCTTCGGATTCTGATTAATGATAACATGTAATGAAAACCTGGTCAAAATGATATATTTTTGTTATGTGTTATACAGTAAGATTCTTTATTTTTTTTTATATGTGGAATATGACGTTTAACTGGTTAAAACTGTTACAAATATAAAAGTATCTATACATTATAACGAAAACTTGATACAGTCAAAATGATATATTTTTGTTGTGTTATACAGTAAGATTCTTTATTTTTTTCTAATGTGGAATATAACATTAGTTTTGCAAAGACTGATTATAACTATAAGACTTAATATAAATTACTTTGATAGTCTAAAGTTAAAGGCAATTTCGTATTGATTGTACTTAATAAAATAAATATATATTAAAACATTTCTAAGAGTTCCTACTAATTGTAAGAGTTTCTACGTATAATATGTGATATTAATGAAAAGGAAAAAGTTTATTTTAAAAAAATAGGGAAGAACGGGGCTAATATGTACAGTTTTCCTTTTCTCTCCCGCTTACTTTTCTTGCTAATGGACTTCCGCGATGATTCCTGGTCGTCGAATATTTCTTCTTGGAGTTTCGGAGAAGAAATAGTCGCCGACCAGGAATCATCACGGGAGCCCATTGTCGAGGAAAGGAAACGGGAGAGAAAAGGAAAACTGTACAGAGATTAACCTCGTTCTCCCCTACTATTATAAATTATAATATGACTTGTTTCTATTATTTTTTATTATTTTTTTATATAATTATGTGTATTTATAAAGAATAACAAACATTGCGGGAAATATGTATTAAATCAAAGAGAATAAATAATATGTTTATAAACTTAAGAGAAAATTATATCTTATCTTCTTTCTGACAATTGCATTATTATAGCATTTCTTTTATCAATCGCAATATTTCTTTCATCTCTTCTATAAAATTGTATTGCATCAATTCTTTCAATATTAGCATCAAATAGTGTTTCAACCAAATCATTATTTAGGAGGCAAAAGTTATGTAGAGCACAACATACCATTATAATATTTGAAGCTTTTACTATTTTATATACTGTTATATATTTCAACCTTCGCCATCGTCCTTTCAATAAAGCGAAACAGTTTTCAATTTTTACTCTTGTTTTACTATGTACTTTGTTATATGTTGTCTGCCTGTGTGTAATATTGCCATAATCTTTAAAAGGAGGTAGAAGCCATTCTTTTATAGGGTATATTTTATCACCTAATAAATGTTGATCTGATAAAAAATATTTAGAGTATATCCATTTGCTTCAACATCGATGTATAAACGTGAATTAGATAATACTCTGCAATCATTAGCAGATCCGGGATGATCAACAAATACATTTGTAAGTAGATAATCTGCTGTACATATCCCTTGTAAAATTATTGAATGTGTCAAATATCTATTTTGATAACATTTTTGATGAGCACTTGGTGCCATAACATTTATGTAACAACCATCGATTGCCCCACCTTTAATTACACCTTAAACATTATAATTATGATAAAATTAACAATTTTATCAAATAAAAATATTTGTGTTGTATTAACAACATTTATTAATTAAACCTTAATGCGATATATTTAGTCATACCTGGAAAACCTGCAATATTCTTGAATTTATTTTGTATATTGATTCGTTGATTCATTGTGAGCCATTGTATTACTATAGGTACCAATTTTAAAATACAATTTATCCAAATGTTTAAGCGGGGAGCACAGACTCTTGCATAACGCATAACACGTAATGCATAAGAATATGCACCAATCGAAGTTCTCCGTTTCTTTCCCTTCCATGTAATAAAGAACTTTGGTTGGTTCAATTTCTTATGCCTCATGTATTATGCGTTATGTAAGAGTCTGTGCTCCCCGCTTTATACAATTGAAAACAGTCGATGATGCTACATTAAATTTGTCTCCAATCTGTGCCATAGATATTTGATTTGCTAAATAATATATAGCTATTTGTTGAATCTTCTGTGGTAGCACAGATTCAAATCCTCCAGTAAATGCCTAAATTATATTATGCGATTGTACTTAATTTACAATAAATTGTACAGTATTGAAGTTATTAAGTTACGATTACTTACTCTTTGCATTTCTTGTTGTTGCATTATAATTTGTAGTAAATTTTGAAATGTTGATTGTTTCATTCGAAAAATAAGAAAAAAGTCATATTCAGTGTATAAATCAATCCAAAATTCGGAATATAATTCGGGGCGATTATGATGTTGTCTTTCGTTTGTGTTTAATAATGTCATAATTTTTCTCTTTTTTCCACGTTTTGCAAAAAAGTGCTTATAAGTTTCTACTGGAGATACTTCATCATCTTCGTCATTATACATTTCACTTATTAAGACAGCCATATATGCTTTAAAACTCATTATTACACTTATTCTTTTATTAGCCTTTTTAAAAGTATCGAATTTGCGCGTTTGAAAAGAACCAGTACATTTTAGCGAATAACTGTGGTATAGGTTATTCACAATAAGCTCCGCCTCTACCAATAACAATCTTGATACATGTACCATACCATCGCCAAAATTCGCCTT